GGGGGGGGGGGGGAGGGGGCAGCATCACTCTCATCCACCCCATCGTCTTATTTGTTTCGTCTCTCTATGTAGGTGGCCGTGTGTACGTCTTGTACCCGGAGAACCTTTTCCTCGAGCTGGGAGGGGGCCACTCGTTCGCCGGCATCGAGATCGGCGACAGCATGTGTCAGCTGGAAATGTCCTCCAGCGATCAAGCAAGCGCGCCGTGGATACTTGGAGACGTGAGCGACCAACAACTAAACTGCATCGCATCCGGCTGCTGTCTTGGAAGTCGCCATCTATGTGGGTGTGGTCCATCTATCAGGTGTTTTTGCGTCGATATTATACAATCTTTCGTCTGTCGGACGAGCCGGCTGTCGGATTTGCGGAGAAGCTGAGTCTCAGCTACGACGACAGCCCGCCGATGCCGGTGCTGTCCAAGGCGTCGCCGCCATCCCGGTGGCGTGAGTCGGTGCTGGTCTCCTCTGTGTGCGTGGCTGCGGCTTTGCTGGCTGTGGCGATGAGATGACCAGTATAGTATGGTCGACCGTGTGGACGTCAAGTGGGTGGGTGTTGATAGATAGGTAGGGAGTGCGAAGGAATGGGGCGACTGCTGGCTGTCGATATTTTGACGCGACTCGGTCGTGTGGTCATGTGTTTCGGATCTAACTAGTTAGTTAGTTTGGGGTGTTAGTGTTGGTGACATGCAATTCATTCGTAAGTAAGACGGCTCGAACTTGTGCCATATATTCCGCAAGGCAGGCTTTTTCAGTAGAAGAGAACCGCAGCAAGGTTGATGGGACACACTGTTAGCTATATTGGATGGATGTATCGGTCTCCACTTTCGGGTGGCTTCTGGACCGTCTGATCCGTGTGCGTTCCTCTGCACACAGACGGGACCTTCCAGGAGCCACGCGCAAACAGTGGAGACCAATGCATCACACGCAGAGCAAACGAAAACTATAACCACCGTGTGTCGCGTCCCCCACCTCAACTAACTGTACAGGCATCACATCACATGCACACCCACACGCACATGCGTATCTATACAGCCCCCGCCCCTATGATGAGGGGGGGATCTCCTCTCAGCACTCGCGAGAGACACCACACCACACCACAGATACACACACCAGCCCTTGCCCCCCTCACTCCCCTCCCCTCCAAGCTTGATCAAATCAAACCACCACCACTTTGATGATCTCCTTGGCAATCGCCAACGCCACGACCATCACCAGCAACACGGTGCCCTGACACATGTATGGGAACATGACATGACACACGATGCAATGCACTCATTCCGTTGTCCGAATTATTGACATCTGCGCTCCCTCCACTCACCAGCCATTGCAGCACTCTGAACAACCGCCTGTCGATCCGTCCGCCCCTCCCAGCACTGGCACGGCCTGCAACACGGCCACCCGCACCCACACCCACATCCACACCAACATCTACCCTCACAGCCACCGCTCCCCCATCGCCAGCCGGCGGCACCGCACTGCGATGCCGATGATACCCACCGTTCTCAAGGCTGTCATACGCCAGCGACGGCGCCTCACCCAGTTGGATGCCCGTGTCTGCTTCAGTGTCGCTGTCGTTGTCAGCTGTCGGCGCGTGAAGGGGCACGGGTGTGTAGTGGAGGGGGCCGATGAGCAGGAGGTGCCAGAACTTGTGGCCGTCCAGGGGCAGCGTAGAGGGGAGGGCGTTGATCACCGCCAGGAACAGAGAGATGGATATCAGCAGCCTACAGTGTAGGCCATCCCATGCACACGAGACATGAGAGTAATGAGATGTGGACGGACGGACGGTTTCGTGGTGCTGTTGTGTTACCCACCATGAGAACCCCAGCAGTATGCGCGAGATCCACCAGAAGAAGGGCGACCTCGCGAGTGCCGCAATGTGGGGCGCTGAGTAGGACAGCGGGCCTACTGCGTGTAGGAAGTCCTCAAAGGAGCCTGACAAGACCAGACCAACCCAACAACACCACACCACACCCAATGCATTGCAGCCATGACCCCTCCCCCCCTCCCCCACCGCTCATGTCATGGTCATGCACCTCCCTCACCTACCTGTATAGACGAAGGTCATCCTGTCTGTCTGCACAGCGATGAGCTGGCTGTAATCGGCCCCGTCCAGACGGCAAGCCACACGCCCCTCCCTCCCCTCACATGGCGACCACGGCCATTCCTCGCCGACATTTGGCGCCGCTGCTGGTGCTGCTGGGTAGACCTGCCAGTCTTTCAGCAGCTGGGCCGCATCGGTTGGTGCCAGGCACAACACATCACCATCACCGGCCACCGTCGCGTTGGCCTCTGCTGCAGCACTGGTGGCATTTCCGTCGACGACGCGGCGGAAGCACACACTTGACCCATCCTCGCCCTCTCCCTGCTGGTGGCCATCGACAGGCTTCTTCCCGGGAGCCCTTAGATGAGCGTGGCCGCCCTCGTCGCTTGCTGGCACATCCGGGGAAAGAGCGGCATCGTCACTGCTGCCGCCGCTGTGCTGCGATGTGTTCACTGCTGCTGCTGGTGGTGTGTGTGTGAACATGTGGACTGGAAGGCAGTAGGTGTTAGTCTGGGATGCGGCTGGGGGCATGTGTGTGGAGAGGGCGTCGAGAAGGAAGGCGTTGGTGCTGATGAAGGGGTCCCACCCGTGAGAGGCCACCAGCTGCTCACGCTCCAGGGACACACCGCCGATGGCTCGGATCTGGTCGCCCGCCGACACAGTGCCCCGCACCGGCGATTGCTGCACGACTCACGAGGGCGCACACACATTCACACATGATGAAGGAACAGGCTTGACTGACTCACCGGATGGACATATGTCACAATGGGTAAGGCTGCTGGCCGGAAGAAGAGTCCCCAGCCGTGTGCCGGCACGGGCTGGCAACTCGCTGGCGCCGCAGGCAAGAATCCCTGACAGACAAATATACATACGCGACAGACAACGTTAGTAATGTTTGGAGCGCCCCGCCCGCCCAATGTGGGGAAGGGCATGGTATGCTGACCACGGCTGCGATGAGGAGGACACAGGTGAGAAGACACAGAACAACATTGTGGAAGACACCACCCGCAGTCACACGCAACTGGACGGACGAACCACAGACAGACAGACAGACAGACGATGCGAGGGGGGCGGTGCTGTGCTGTGCTGTGCTGTTTGTGTACGGCTTTCTTTCTCCATGTCATCCGATGGGTGTGTTGTGTTGTGTGTTTACCTGTGCGGGCTGCGACATCATACTTAGACGCTCCTTACAAGACAAGACGCACAGAGAGGGACAACCAACACAACACAGCATCCCATCCATCCCACCCCACCACGCATGCCTCTTTCACATCTGTGGCCGTCCGTCACCTCACCTGTTCGAGCTGCACAAACGCCAAGGGAATACCACGCTCAACACCAGCACCTGCACAACGCACACCCACACGTAATCAATCGGTGCCTTCCATCAAGCTTTCTCTCCCATCTGTCTGTCTGTCCCTGTCTGTTCGCCATATGTACCGAATTTCGACGCACTGTAAGGGTCCTCGGCCAACGCAGCCGCCGCATGACCTGACGTGACGTGATGGCCATTGATGACATGCAATCCAATCACCTCGTGAGATGAGATGTTTGCTGTGGCTTGGCTTGGGTTGTCTGTCTGCTTGCACTCTCACTCACTCACAGGCATACCCTCCCTACCCAGCTCATGCACGGCCAGCGCCAGAAGAGCAGCCACAAGTAACGGGATGGTCCACCCAACAGGCAGCGTCCAGCCGGGCACCTAAACGCACACAACACAACACAGCACAGCACAGCACAGAACCATGATCGATCACGAGTGACTCACGGTGACACGAGATACGTAAACACACCAACCGCCAGATCAGATCAGATCAGATCTCACCAGTGGCGTGAGTTCGATGGACGGTGTGGCAGCCGTGATGCTGACTGTCGGCATGGAGGTGGCCGTCGAGGAGAGGGCCCGTGTGGTCGTCAGCAGATGGCCGTAGATGAACGACATCTGTCCAACGCTGAAGAAGGTCAGCAGGCCCATCCCGCCTATGGTGCACACAAAGAATACCACAGTGCCTGAGCAGAGCAAACCACACAAGCACACAGACAGATAGGAAGAGTGAAGATGCAAGCAATGGTGTGGTGTGGTGTGGTGTGTTGATGGTGCGTGCGTCCGTACCGAGAGTGAACCAGGCCCTCCATGCCTTCCTGCCGACTCGAGTGCATCGCCGCACTGTGATGAGCAGTCCCGTGGACACAAAGAGGAATGTCCACTGTTTCAGCTTGATGTGCCAGGCCATTCGCAGAGCATTATGAGCACAGATCAGGCCACCTCTTTCTCACTCGTGTCCAGTAAGCTCGCAGGCGCCAACTGAGTGCGCAGATCTGTTCGAAGCGCATTCACCAACACACGACAAGCAGGCATCTCCAAGCGACGGTTGCTGCATCATCCCTTTCTCATCTGAGATCTTCCTTTATCGCCTCTCGTCAACACAATGGCATCATCAACGTCAGTGATCTGCGGCACGGCTGCCCTCCTCCTGCTTCTGTCTGCCTGCCTGTGCGAGGCCTTCACCCTGCCATCCCGCGGCAGCCCTCTCCGCGGCGCCCCAGGCAGGCCAGCCCTGACGAGGAGGGAGGTGGTGTACCAGTACGACATGGCCTACCTCGCCACTGTGGCGCAGCGGCAGCCCGTGACGGGCTTCTACTACTTCCCCGAGTGCAAGTTCTGCCAGAAGGTCTTCGACTGGGCCAAGGAGAAGGGCGTGGACCTCGAGGCCAAGGGCGTCCAGCTCAAAAACATCAAGGACGCTTCGGGCGACCCCACTGAGTTCAGCCTCGAGCTGCTCGCAAAGGCAGTCGGCAACAAACAGGTATGTGCGGTGCATGCGATGCGATGCGATGCGTCCGTGGGAGGGTAGATGGCTGATCGATGGTATTGCCTGCCGGTTTGTCTGTGTGCGTGGCGTGGCGTGGCGTGGCAGGTTCCTGCCCTGGAAATAGGCGGCCAGCACATAATGAAGGAGTCGGGGGACATTATCGCTCTCCTCTCAAAGCTCTGGTTCGACGAAGAGGTGAGCCGAGCCCGCGACCAAAAGCGAGTGCAGTGCATCACACATGTCACACGCGCCAACTATCGTCAATCGTCTGTTCTTCGTTTGCTCGATCTCTCCTCCTTGTGCCCGCCAGGTGCAACGGCAGCTCAACAGCGGTCCAGGCATCAAGGTCGAGTCCTACATGGAGATCGCTGACCTTCTCGACTGATCCAACCGCCGCCGACCCACACCACACCCAGCTGTTCTCATGCTTTTCTCGACTGCGTGGTCTGATCTGCCAATCCAATGAATGCCAGTTGTTGATTTTTCTGCCGACGATAGAGAGGGGGGCGTGTTGATCTGCCGGCGACAGAGAGGGGCGAATTGCATCTTCGGATGGGTGTGTGTGTGCGGGACTGCTTTGTAGAGTACCTACCTTACTTTGGGGAGAGCGATCGCGTTCGTGTGTGTGTGTGTGTGTCCCGTTTTGCAATGGATTCAGCGCGGATCGAGCGGATCGGGCCGGGCAGGGTGGCTTGTAAGGTTTTTCGGTGTGTGGTGGGTACATGCCGTGGGGTGCACTTCTTGTTCATCATTGAGAAGAAACGGTCGAGTCCTGTAATGCGCTTTTCGTCGCGTTGATAACTTGAGCAACTGGAACGCTTTCCCTCTCCCTGTCGGCACAGCGAGGGGCGGAGCGTTGCAGTCGCGAGGACCAATCAGCGGGCGAGGAAAAGGGCACGGTGCAGGCACTAAGAGATCACTGACTGCATGGCTGCGATGAGGGTGAGAGCGGCGGGTTGGCTGACTGTCTGTCTCTCCAAATGGAGATGACTACATAGCTTGGATGATGGATGGACCCTGCGGCATGTGTGTGCATTCGTGCTGATACATACCGTCTCGTGAGCGAGTTTTTCACTCAAATATCATTCCTTCCTCCGAAAACGTGCAGCTCACTGGGAACCTGGCCCACACCTGTGCCCGGATCCCCTGGCCGGAAAAATAGTGCGATCGGTGTTGGAGGCAGGGAGAAGGCCAAGGCGCAGCTACTGCGCCGCTGCTGCATCCCTGTGCGCGTGTTCTATCGTTTGGCGGCCGGCAGCATCGATTCAGCCTTCCTTCCCGCAGCCATGAGGTACGCACCGCATCCGTGTTAACATGCTTTCTCTTTTGATGGGGTGCATCTGACCGTCGTTGTCTGCGTATACGGGTCTGTCTGCAGTGAGCCGCGGGACATGTATGACCTTCAGGGGAACAAACTGCTAGCCAACTATGGGCCGCGGATGCCCGACCCCTCCGGCGAGTGGCGTATCGTAGAGTGAGTGAGAACCCCATATATACCACATCACATCACAGGACACGTACCATTCCATCCATCCATCCATCCCACGCTCTCGCTCTCTCCTTTCTTCCTTCTCTGCACTGTGTTCTGCCCTGTGTTGTGTGTGTTGTGGTGTGTGCAGGTTGTCGAAGGACGCGTTCAAGGCGTACAAGCAGATCAAGCGCGGCCTGCTGGCCACCATGGGCGGCCGGCAGGCTCAGGGCCGCACCTTCACCATATCGGAGCACGTACGTTAGTCAACCACACGCATAGCATACATACCCACACAGAGAGAGTGAGAGGCATTCCATCCACTCAGACGGTCTGTGTGCATTGCAAATGGTGGGTATATTGTGATCTTTGTTTGCATCATGCAGTACTGGCGGGACCAGTTGGGATTGCACATGTCGTCTGGCTGGATCCACATGGGCAATGCCCAGTAAGAAGGAAGGAAGGAAGCCACACACCCATCCCCACCCCAGATCCCATCCCCTTTTGCCTCATTTCATTTCCCTCTCTCGCCTTGTGCTGTGGTGTGGTGTGTTGTGTTGCGTATGATTCTATCTATCATCAGGAAGGAGCCCCAGATGATGCTGTTCCACCTGCCCAAGGCCGTGACTCAGGCGCAGGCGCAGGCCAAGGCGGCCGCCGCCAAGCCCGCGGTGCCTGTGGTAGCGCCTGCTCCCGGGCAGGGGGCCAACAACAACCAGAACAACCTCCAGAACCAGAAGCAGAACCAGAGCAACAGCAAGAACAACGCCAACGTGAAGCGCCCCCCCGAACCCGGTGGCGGTGCCGGCGGCAACAAGCGCCCCCGCAAGGGCTAGCTAGACACACACATACACACCACATCACATCACACCATACACGTACAGATGCACACACACATACGACAAACCGAAAGACAGACAGACAGATGGATAACCTAAGACCGGGGCACACGCATGACCGATGTAGCTAGTGGCCGGCCGGCGTGTGTGGGGGGTGGGGTGCCTGCCTGATCCGATCCGGCTGGTACGTTTGTTTGTGGTCCAATTCATTCCAATGTGTGCGTGGATGCGTGGGCTGATGGATGGATGCTCCTGGCTGGCGCGGGAAATGAGGGAACAGACAGACAGAGGTCTCTCCTTCTAGAGAGAGACTGTTGGCTCGTTAGTTGGCTGATGTTGGATGGAAGGGACAGAGAGGGAGAGGGAGAGGGAGAGGGGAAGGGGAAGGGGAGAGAGCCTCTGCTCTGTAGGCAGAGAGGCAGGTATGTAACCACAACATGACACAGACACGGACCGACAGCTACACACACACACACACACACATCCACACATCCACACAGCACACTAGCTCACCCTTGTTGGCGAATTCGATGGTCCACACCACACACCTACCTCTACCTCTGAGGCTCCATGGCTGGATGGCTGGATGGATGGATGTTTTCCTTGGCATGGCATGGCATGGACGGCTGCTGGTCTATGGTCGCGTGCTGGTGTTGCGTAAGTCACTGGATGCGGGTGTTGGTGGCGTGGTGCGTGACGTGCAATATAGTAATGGGACTGGATGGATGGATGGCCGCCTGTGTGTGTGTGTGCATACCTACACGTATGGCCTGGCTGACGGACACGCGCATACGGTACACCGCTCGAAGCTTATCGTGACAGCTGCCACACCACATGTGTCTGTCTGTCTGTCTGTCCAAAGCAACAACACAACAACCCCTGACCAACCCGCCAAATGATGAAAGACCACCTTCATTCCCCTCCCACACACACGCACACGCACACACCTACACCTACACCTACACCTGCGCTCACACTCACACACCGATGTCTCTGTCTGTCTTATCAATCAATCAATTCGATAGACCGCTTACAGCCCTCGCACTCATACCCTCGCACTCACTCATGCAAATCAACACAGGCACGTCGCTCCATACGTCCCTCCGCAGTCCACTCACTCATCAATCAGTCAACTGTCTCTCTCCACCTGTCCGCATCCCTCTGCAGAAATGGCTCAGTCATCTCCTCAATCACCCTTTGGAAGTGCTCGTACTTGGCTGTCATCACGGCCTCCGCCTCTGTCGGCGACCACTTCAGGTCGTTGAACGCCCCTCTGCCGTCCCATTTGACCTGCGCAGATGTCTCGAGCTTTGTCACCTCTATGTTGCTGTCGTCGCTGCAATCGGTGCCATCACGGAGGCCGGCCATCTTGTTGCTGGTGCCCACCTGCTGCTGCTGCTGTGGAATGGCGCGGACAATGCCGCCTGATAGACAGGCACACAGAGGGTAGATGTGTGGTTACAGGCGAGGGCTCCATGCGTGTGCCTATACCAAGGCAGCCTGTGATCAACTCGGCGTCATCGCCGATCTGCGTGGCGGCGTAAAGTGAGTTAAACTGGATGCCGCACCCCGTCCTGATGGATGCGATGCCAAAGGATGCATCGACGGAGCAGGCCAGGCAGGCATTCTCTGTGTCTGTCATCTGCTGGCTTACGTACGTGATGTGGAAGGCCTCCTCCCCCGACGTCGCGTTGATGGCGTCAAAGGTCCAGCAGCCACGAAAGGGACCTGCACACACCACACCACACGGGCGGACCACATGCCATCACACTGATTGACGAATGAACAAGACAGCTGCCATCCCGTCATGGCTCACGTGCTGGTTTGCCGTCCTCGTCTCTCCGCGACACACCATACAGAAGCCCTGCACCACACCACACCGCACAGCACAGTAAGCCTCACACACAAGCAGTACGTGCCTCTGCTCTGTGTGTGTGTGTACCTGTCTTCCGCGACAACGTGGGAATGCCGTTGGCGAAGAAGAGGTCGGGTCTGCTCCATGGCGACGTGAGCTGGAGCGTCCCGTTGTTGTCCAGCTGGAGCGTCATCTTCTGGATGCCCAAGGGACTATCGCCAAGCAGCACGACGAACAGGGACCGCATTTGTTGGATCAGGATGAACTGACAAGCAGGGGATGAGGGTATAGAAAGGTGGACGGGCTGTTTGGCGTGTGGTGTGCTGCTTACGGGTGGCAGCTGGATGCCGACCCGCTGGATGAGTGTCTCGATCTGGGTGAAGAAATCATCCGACGCGTGCGCCACATCCTGCGCCACGCTGGTCAGGGCGTTGTTGACCACATATAAGTCCGAGCCGCTCACCAGCACCGACTGATGCAGAAACACACAACACAACACAACACAACAGCACATCCGATCTTCACCCACCCTTCTCCCACCCACTCACTCACACCCACCTGATCGCTGAAGACGTCCTTGATGTCCTCTTGCCCAAAGTCTACCACTCGCGACGCTGCCACCTGTCCAATCTCAGCGTCCACCACTACCACTTTCTGCGGCGCATCGCCGTCAGATATCACCACATACCGCCGGCCGTCATGCATCATCAGCGACGGCGTCGAGCCTGACCCAGTGCGACTCAGGCGGCCAGGGACGGGCGTGTCGAGGACGTCATAGGGCGACGCCCAGACGACCTCAAAGCTGCCCTGAGACGCTACAGTTGCGTTGCTGGATGGGGGGTGGAATAGCACCTTGTAGAGCTGGGCGTTGGTCACCAGATAGACATTGTTCTCTTCATCGAGTGCCACAGAGTTGGACACTTCCTCCTCCCCCCCTCCCAGCAGCAGAGGCACGGCGGTCTCGACGAAATCTGCCGACCCATCCGGGCCCTTCACGAGCTGCACGGCGCCAACCCGCCCCCTGGTGGTAAAGAATATCGCGTGGGCAGCCTCCAGCCCCTGTTCTTCCGGCGGGAACGACATGGTCATGGCGATAAAGCTCTCGCCTTCCAGCAGCCCCTCGGAGCCGGTGGTCATGTTGGTAATCTCAAAGTGGGCGAGGATCTTGATGGGCGAGCGGGGATCTGACGGGTCTTCGGAGTTAAGTGCGAGCAGGCGAACACCATTGGGGTCGAAGAAGGCCCCGTCGGCGGCGACGAAGCCGTAGATGCCGTGATAGACGTCCTCATTGGCGGCCTCGAGTGGCTTGACATAGCAGGCCAGCACCTCGAGATCCGTCGCGTTGCGGCCGATCTTGCAGATGTCGGTGAAGGTGGACGTCCACATGTAAGAAGACGACCCACCGCCCTCTCCGTCTCCCTCACCACCCATCGGGCCGGCGTAGTGCAGGCTGAGCGGGTCCAGGAGATTCAAGTCAAAGAGGACGTTCTTGGCGATGTTTTCTGCTGAAGTTGGCGCCATGCTGTCCGTCGATTGCGCTGAGTAGGGGCCGCCGAGAGCCATTGGCCATGAGGACCGTGCCAGTGCTGGGTTGCGGACGGCTGCAGCAGGAGCAGAATCGGCTGGGTGAGTGGAGACAAAGAACAGCAGGAGCAGCAGCAGGGCTCTGAGCACAGCGGGGGGAGGAGCCGAGGACATCGCCAGAACTTCGCGTTTGGACAATCACACCCTGACGTTGCACGGTCGACAGAAATAGCAGTTCGTAGAGTCCATAATTCCGAAATAATATCGCTACAACAGCCACTCCGTCTTTTCGATGCGCGATCCCTCTCTCGACTACGACGGCTACGGCTGCCGCACTGCCCATACCTCCGCCCATCCCTCGTCGATATCGCTCCCGCTGCCCTTCCAGGCAGACCAGCCTCACTCGCAGCAGGCCCTGCTATCCCTGTCGCTCGTCCGCAACTGCCCATCCGACTCCCTCTCGCCTCTCACACACTCCACGCTGTCGTCGCAGAGGGATGATGACGACGGGCCCGGAGCAAGGATGACGGAGGAGGCGCGGCAGAGGCAGAAAGACGTGCTGCGGCAGCTGTTCAGGAAGACAAAGGTGAGAGGGGGGAGGGAGGGAGGGAGGGAGGGAGGGTAAAGGGGGGCTCTGTCTCGTTTTGATGTGCCAGTGGTGGTCTCACAATTATCCGTTACAAAAAGGTTGACGTGTGTGTGTGTGTGCGTGTGTGTGTAGATGTGTCCGTGGCTGCACACGGGCAAGTGCACGCGTCAGGACCGGTGCAACTTCGCCCACACGCTGGACGAGCTCCGCCCGCGGCCTTCAAACACTGACGTGAGCGATCTCACCTCACCTCTCCTCACCTCACCACGGCATTAATTGTCGACTGCTGCACGTCACTGTTTGACTTAAGTACTTGATCGCTGTCTATACCGTCGTGTGTTGTGTGCCTTTCTTTGTGTGTTTGGTGAGCAGGATTTCGGGTTTGACCCTCGTTACTGGAAGAAGCCCAAGAAGAAGAAGGACAAAGTGCGACCTCACTACCTCATCACTGGTATCAATCACATCACACGCGAAGACACAGACCCACAGAGAACGTTCCCTGTATCTCATCTATCTATCTTTGCGTGTTCCATGTGCCGTATGTGTGTATCAGGGTCGAGTCACGGTCACTCCCTGTGTGGACCCTCCCCGTCTCTGTGCGTCTCCCTCGACCACCCCCCGCCCTACGACTCCATCGGCTTCCCCACCACACTCACCCACCCTGACGCCAACCCCTCCTACGACAACGTCCCACCCCACATCCCTCCAATAACCTACACCTCCCCCCCCTACAGCACCCACTCCCCCACACCCACCATGCACCCCACAGACAACGCAGCCGCCCACCACAACCCCCACACGGCGACAACGGACAGGGCGGCCATCATCCCCTCCGTCGACCCACACCCACACACGCACCCACTGCCCCTGCTGCAGATGGCCACATGGCCATGGAGCAGCCCCCTTAGCGAGCAGCCCCCGATGAGCCCGACGGACCTGCAGACGCCCACTTTGCCGCCCAGCTATGGGGTGGTGGACGAGGCGCATGAGCAGGAGCACAATGACCGTGAGGAGCCTGAGGAGCACGTGGGGGAGCTGCAGCGGCTCATCAAGAACTGGGGCTGCATAGTGGGCTGACGGACGGACGGACGGAGGGAGGGAAGGACGGGCAACGGCCCCGTCTGTCTGTCTGTCTGCCTGTCTGTCTGCGAGTGTTGCTTTTTCTTTCTTCATACTTCCTCCCTCCCTCCCTCTGTTTTGTTCCTTCTTTTCATATGCTGGTGGGTAGCTGGCTGGCTGCATCTCGTCAGTCACATTCCTCCATCCATCCATCCATCCATCCTTTCTTCTCCCAAGCTGCCTGCCACTGACTGCATCGCACCACCCTTGCGTACCCTACCGTACCCACTCGCTGCCACGCACAGCAATGCATAGCATAGCATAGCATAGCATACACTCACTCAGTCACGCACTGACAAATTCCGCCCATCTGTCCACCCCACCCGACCCGTCTGCTGTGCGCCCCCGCGCCCTTTCTGTCTGTCTGTCTGTCTGTCTGTGTAGGCAGGTAGCGTAGCGTAGCGTAGCCTAGCCTAGCCTAGCCTGCGTCCGTCTGGGTAAACGGATAGATAGATAGATCCTGTGTGTATGGCCAAGTGTTTAGTGTATTTGTGCGGATCCATAACATACATACACTCACCCAGTCAGTCAGCCACCCACCGACCCACCGACCGACCTACACAATCGAAGTCCTAATTGGGTCTTCCCTTGCTCCTTTCTCTCTTCCTCTCTGTCTCTTCTTCCATCTAGATGAGATACGTGACAGCCAGGGGGCGGGCGGGTCGTTGAGCGGCAGACAGAGGCACAGAGGAGAGAGCGGCCGGAGGGAGACAGAGAGACTGAGAGATGGATGGGTGTGAGAGAGGCATGCACTGCGTGAAACGGCTGTGTGTGGGGGATGTCCTCGCGTCAATGGGTGTGTGTGTGTGTATGTGGGTGTGGGTGTGGGTGTGCTTGTTGTTGTTGTTGTGTGATGTATCTATCCCTCCTCGTGTGTGATGTCATGCGCCTGCTGTGGCGTGTACGTGTGTGCTAAAGACGGTAAGAGATGTACTGAGTGAGTGAGTGAGCGCAGGGGTTGTCATTTGCCTGCGTGCCGATCTTCTTACGCGCGCACACACACACACACACACACACGAGCTCAATGGCTCTCATGCTCTTTCCCATGGATGGATCGATGTCGCCATGTTAGCTATCATGATGGATGCCTATCGATTTTTCCTTTGCCGCGCTTGCCCGATGTCTATCATATCGCATCGTCTTGTCTGTCTCTCTGCAGATGTATGTCTGTCTGTCTGTCTCGTGTTTTGTTTGTCCATCCTAGTGTGGCCGCATCATTGGTTGGTTGGTCTCTCTCTCTCTCTCTCTGTCTGATTTTGTGTGAGTGCGCTAGTTCGTTCCCCTGTTGGTCCGTCATGCCTGTCTGTCATTGGTCGGCTGTGCGTGGCTCTTGGATGGATGGATGGATGAATGGATGGACGCCTTGTGGGTAGGTGTGTTGGGTATTGGCTTGTGGAGGGAGAGTGGCGTCACATCCAGACAGTCAGACTGAGAATGACGCTCACCAAGGCCAATGCATGCCCCCTCTTGGTCGTCAGTCATATCATGAAAATAACACAGCTGCTTTTCCTACCGTCACGTCACCTAGTTCCTGGTCCGTGGATGCGTGTGTGCAGGTGTGTGTGTGTGCGTGTGTGTGTGTGCGTGTGTGTGTGTGTACCTTACACATGCAGGCGTACGCACATACCTACTTGCCCATGCATACCAGGCAGGCAGGCACTCAAACAGGCAGCCAGGCACCAAGCTTTTGTCCGCTCGTCGTCTGTACGCTTCTCACGCTATCTTCGTTCGTCTGCCCGTTTGGCGGTGCACTCATTGGTGTCTGTGTGTCTGTGTGGGGGGATGTTGTCCATGTCTACGTGTGTGTGCCCTTCGTTGTGTGCTGTGTCATGTGTACAGACAGGTACATATGTGTGTGTGTGTGTGTGAGATATAGATGACGATTGCTTGCCTGTGTCCGTTCCGTAGCGTATCTGCCTGTGTGCTACACACGTGTATGCGTGCCACGTTGGGGCGCTAGGTCGTTGGTTGCTGCTCCACAATCGCATCCACTTCGTGCTGAGCGGGTTAAGCGTACACCTACACACCTGCACACAATGGAATACATGCTTCCTTCGGCGGAAAAGCGTTGATGTGTGTTGAGACACGACAGGCAGGCAGGCAGGCGGCGAGACACACACGCCGCCCGGCTGGTATGTAGGTCTTTTTCGCACTGACGACCGCACTACCACAATGATGGACATGATGCTGCAAGGCCTAGGGTGCTTGCTGCCTGTGCTGGTGTTTGTATCACTATATCTACGCTAGCTACCCTACGCTACGCTTCGCTCCGTAAGTACGTAAGTAACGCTGCTGCTGGTGAAGGCGGCTTTTTTCCACTACAGTATGCAGCCAACTAAGGCAGCATGTCGATCGTTTTGGCTTTTGTGTCCTGCTGGCTGGCTGGCTGGCTGCCGGGTTGCCTTGCCGGGCTGACTGCATTCCATGAGGCGAGGCGCAGGAAGGTACATACATACATACGTACGTACGTACATCCATGGACAGATAGAGGATCGGTGTACGGTACGAGTACCTGTGGGTGTGGTGTTTCATCGATCGGCCGGTGGATGGATGGATGGATGGCCTTTTCCGCTTGTCTACAGGTGCGTTTGTATCGCTCTCCATCTGCACGTGCGTGTGCCATCCACACGTACAGCGCCATGCCACTCATTCCATCGATCGGCTTCTGCGTACATACGCATATATGCATACGTACACACATACGTACATATTCTTCTTACGTACTTTCATAGACGTGGTCGTTTAAGTCAGGTCGGGTTGCTTGCTTGCTGAGACTCGGTCAGCTGTGGCGGGGCGGGGCGGGGCGGGGGGATGGGTCCATTGGTCACTCATCCAGTCATTGGTGCTTTGGTGCTGCTGCGATGCTGCATACATACATACACACATACACACATACACACATACACACATACACACATACACACATACACACATACACACATACACACATACATACATACGTACACACATACATGCATAGCTGCTTTCATATGATGCCTCGATCGATGCCTTTGACGCTTGCGTACTTACCTTTGTGTAATTCGTTCGCACACTCATTCGTTCATAGGGCCGAGGGACACACTGGGGGCGGAGGGGAGGCTCAGCTGGTCTTTATGAAGCGTGTGTCTGCGCGTGTGTATGTGTGTATGTGTGTATGTGTGTATGTCGTATTGCGTATTTGTTTTCTAAGGCACTTTTTCTAAGGAAAGGAATGTCTGTGTGCATCTATTTGTGCTGCGGTTGGCGGGCGGCGGGCAAACGGCTGGCTGGCTATATATGCGAGTGCGACTGAGGGAGGGGAGGCACGATGGGTGGATGTGTGTGTGGATGCATGTGTGTTGTGTGTATGTGGCACCGTGCGTAGCGTACGCCCAGCTCGTCTCATCATTGATTGCACTGCATAGAGAGAGCGAAAGGTACGCAAAGCTGATACGCATGTATGTGTGCCTGTGCCTGCGCCTATGGGTGGCATTTGCGGTTGTTAAGTTTTCACTCACTTTTTGCACGGTTCGCTTCATGATGCGTTACATACATGTCTCTGCAGTGCACACACACACGGATACAGACACAAACAATATATTATTACACACATGCATGGCTGGCACCGGGCAGCCTCTTTGCTGGCTGCTGCCGGAAAACGATAGCAAACGGGCTGGAGAGGGCGGGAGAGGGAGGAACAATTCGTTGTCTTTAGCACTGACTATATTGAGACGGACTGTTTTATCGGCTGCCACAGCTGGTTGGTTGCTTGGTTGGGAGGCTAGACGGCTGGCTGGCTGGCCGTCCACTCTCGCATCAGTCGGATTTTTGACATGTTTGTTTGTGTGCAGTGAGTGCATTTGTGTGCCGTGTGTTGGTTGGCGGTTGGGGTGTGGGTGTGTTGGTCGGCCGTTGACAGCTGGCTGGTTTTTGGATTTGCACTGCTGATCGATCGATGGCTAGATGGATGATTGGTCTGTCTAATGCATGTGTGTGTGTGTGTGTGTGTACAGAGGGGCCAGGGTGTGAGAGTGACTGCGTATGCGGCGACACGTTCATGCACGCCACTCTGTGAGACGACGAGACGAGCAAGTAACCAACCCCATTTGATCAATCCAATGTCGCGTGCGTCATACATGTAAGGTGCGATTGATCCGCTGACACTCATTGAAAGCAGCGAGCGATTGTCCTCCCCCTGTCGGTCAGTGAATCCTCGAACGAATGGCACACACCCGAGCGCGTCACGTGTTTGGCCCCCACATAGCATGCATGCCCCACATATAGCTAGCGTACAACGAACAAACACGCTGCCTGCATGCCATGGATGCGCGGAGATACATCTGCATGGCATGGGGGCAGCCGAATGAATGAATGATGAATTACTCACACAGTGCGATCGATCGCAGGCACCACTCAGTCAGTCAGCCAGTCACCGGACAGACGGACAGACAGACAGACCATACACAACAGACCATACGCCGAAACAGCACCACGGAAAAAACGGGAGGGGGTCGTTAGTTCGTTCGGTTGTCGCTATGAGAGCTTCCCTCCCTCCCTCCCTTAATGCGTCGATCGACCTGACTGAGCGCACCAAAAGCCTTAAAAACACTGCTCCTTCGCTCGTTCGCTCGCTCGTCCGCATCTCTTTCTTCTTCAGTCGCTTGCGATCATTACTCGAACAGACCCAAATATGTATCTTTCTTCCATTCCATTCCATTCCATTCCATTCGTCTCATTGGTCCATTCTCCCGTCCGCCGCTCTCATTCCTTCCCGCTTGACTCGCTGTGTCCATTCATCCCTCCCTCCCTTGCACCCTGCCTGCCCTATCAGAGTGTAAGAGAGGAAGCATTGCGTCCGCAATGAATTACGGAGTGGAACTAACTGTAAGTAAGGACATGCAGACACGCAGCCCACCCAGTTCCCTCTAAGTAGATAGAAGTAGATAGAACGTGCAGCATGGAATGGATGGACGGTCGGTTGGTTCGTTCGTTCGTTGCGTCAGACCGACAGTGTTGGTTCATTCGTTTGATGCGTTGCATGCCATCTCATGGAACGACTTACACACATGCATGCATGCAGGTGGGGTCCCCTGAAAAACTCCGCGTGCGAATGGCTGGCTGGCTGGTTGGCCAGGCAGCACAGCCACGCAGGCACGGAGGAGGGCTCACCCACGCGGCTCAAATCGACCGATCATGGACTGGATGATGCAGACACGCACACGCACAGTACACGCACCCGACAGACAGACAGACAGACAGATAGACGGACAGCAGATAGAGTGTGTGGCACCAAACCGACATACCAACCAAACAGCTTCCGCCCACTAGCACGAATGAAGGCCCCACCAATCACATCCCATCCCACCCCACACCCCGCACCGCGACAAGCGAGTTCCATCGACAAACGTCCTCCCCCTCCCCGCCCTGCCCTGCCCCGCCGGTCGGCGCTTCCCCACAACACACACATGCACACCACACGACCACAGACCACACCACACAAACACGCACACACGGATGGACACGCACACACGTCGCGCGCGCAAGAGAGAGAGCGCGCGACAGAGGTGTGGACTGAGGAAGGCCGCTACGAGTCAATTCGGACACGGAGAGCACGAGTGAGTGCACACCACACATGGCATGGGTCCCGTCCCAGAGAGCGGGTGGCGTATCGCATCTATATACCCGCCCGCTTCCCCCGTCCGCTTGCCCGTGTACGTAGAGGTCGACAGATAAAGATGTATACGCACCTGTGGTCCATGCAATGCAATCAATGTGTGTAGAAGCCGGCCGCCCAGCCGTGCTGCTTGTTGCACACACGCCTGTGGCAGCCAGCCAGCCAGCCAGTCAGGCAGGCAGGCAGGCAGGCAGGCAGACACGAAGGTAGTGGGTGAAGCGACGGGAGAGGCATTCAGTCATGTGAGGCCCTGGCGCACAGTTCCATCGGAATGGCGCAGGAAGTAGTGTTGGCACGCCTCTCCAATCCTCTCCCCTCCTCATCATGTAGACAGACAGTTAGTTAGTCACTTACATATAAGACGTTAGATAGACAGACGCGACGCATGGATAGCAACCAACACATGAGACGGCTGTGCTGAACAGATAGATGAGATGATGAATGGGTGCATGTTGATCGATCTCTCCATCTCTCTCTCTCTCCGTTACCTCCCACAGCCAGGCAGACCACATAAATAAGCTCATGACGCGCCCGTCCGTCCGTCCACCCACTGCATGCCTTCACACAGCCACCCACACACACACACACACACGTACTCGTACGCCACACACAAGGAAGCCAGAGCCCATATAGACAGTCAGGCAGACACACACAGAGAGAGAGACGGATGGACAGCAGTGGATAAAAGAACCATCACATCTCTCCTCCCTCCCTCCCCTCCTCTCCTCTCCTCTCGACCAAACAGATAAAGAAGTATAGGTGTGTGTGTAGATATGGGTGTTAGTTATAGACAGGGAGGCGGGGCGAGAGGGGCGGGCGGTGAACTGACTGACCCGAGAGGCTTGAAACAAACACACACACACAGTCAGTCAGTCAGTCAGTGATCTGAGTGAAAGGTGGGATCGGTCCCACACACTACAAATAGATAGCTACATACATAACATAGGACAAAGAGGGTGTGGACACAACGCACGCGACACAGCCATCCTCCATGCAGACGCAAAGCACCCAGATCATTCAAACAGGGAGGGACCTACGTACGGAGACCTTGGGAAAAAGGGGCCCTTGTGTCGCGTTCGTCTGCCTGCCTGTGGTGCCGTCACGCCTCGTCCCGCGACCGCATCCCTTGGAAGGAGGACTCCACAGCCAGACAAGACCGTGGAGGCTTCAAAGAAGTGCGACCACGGACGAGGCGTAGCCGACCCAGCGGCAAGCAAAGGGCAAAGCAGCATCAGGTAGGTGTGTATGTGTGTACGCAGGGAGGGAGGGAGGCAGGCCGGCCGGAAGGCGGAATGAATCGATGCATGGCTGTTCTGTCTGTCTGTCCATCCGTCGTCGACACAGGGGATGAACATGGCCGGAGATCAGACAGACAGGGAGAGGAAGAGAAAGGGTGGGTGAGATGAGAGAAGAGGAGACAGAGATAGAGAGGGTGCAAAATGTCACGATCCTATGCTGTCAAACGATCGACCAACACACGTGCGTGCGTGTGTGTGTGTGTGTGTCTGCCTGTCGTCGAATACTCGACCGACGTGTGTGTGGCGTGGGCGTGTTGTGCTGTGTGATGGGAAGGTGCTAGCTGTGTCATGGTTGCCTTGCCTGACGAGTGAGTACACGGATGGGATGAAAAATCAGGGCACGGTACGTACGAACCACACAGACCAGACAGACAGACAGACATACAGACGACGCATTCAGTCAGTTATATAGCCTAGCCCATCCCATGCCCCCCGACAGACAGCCAGCCACAGCCACAGCCACCCACACAAGCATCAGAATAGCCAACCGGCGCCACATCGCCCTCCTCTCACCTCCCCTCCCATCCGCCCGTGCGTCCGTCTGGTGAGCCAGCCAATGGAACACTCACTCACTCAAGCCAACTCATCCATCTATCCTTCCATCCATCCATCTACCTTTCATCATCCCTGGCATGGCATGGTGTGGGGGGTGCGGTGCGTGGCCGGCTGGCTCACCTGCGTCGAAAACGTGAGGAGCTTGCTTGAATGAGGGATAAGGGATGAGGGAAGGCAAGGCAAGGAAGCTAGCTCCCGCACGCGCGCACCGATCAAAAAGAAGGATGAGGGACACAGAGAGAGAGGAGGGAGGGCAGCCAGCCAGCCGTTCAAAGTGAGCGTAGGTTAGATAGGGTGAGTGAGTGACTTAGACAGTGATTGAGCACCATTCCGCGTGTTGTGCTTAATTAAACCACACGCACCAAGGAACACACCAAGTCCTGCCAGGCCATCAATCAACCATGGAGCTGTCAATCTATCCATCCATCGATCCATTCATCCATCCATGCATTCATCCATCAGCCAAGCCAAGCCATGTGTGCACATGGGCGAGCCAGTCGAGTCGGTCGAGCTGTCCCAGGGGATAAATATAGGCAGACAGACAGACGGTACCATCACCAGTACCATCACCGACCGAAGGCGTTGAAAAAACCGCTGCCTCGTCTGTCTCTTGTCTCTGTCTCTCTGTCTCTCTCTCTGCGAGTGTGCGTCTGTGTGTGAGGCATCCAGAAACACCATACGAGGAGGGAAGAAGAAACTCTGCAAGAGCAGCCTGCCTGGCCGGCACTCGTGCACGAGAAAAAGCGGCAAGGCAGCAGCGAAGAAGCGATAGTGGAGAGAATAGTGTGTAAAAGAGAGTGAGTGTGTCGTGTGTGCGCGATAATGAGCCGATGGTATCCACAGTGCGGTGTGTGAGGTGAGCGATGGGTGCACATCCAATCCAGCCGCAGCAGCATCACATGCACCCCACGCCACGCAAGACAAGGCAAGACACCGGTGCCCCCCCACCCCATGTCCCCCCACCCCATCCCATCCCGCCAATGACGATAAAAGTAGGTGGGAGGCTCAGCACACCACACCACACCACACACCGACAAACCAACCAACAAACGAAATAGCAAACAGCCCCAACGGTCGATCCAACGACAACCATCCATCCATCCCTCCATTTCAGGCAGCAGCCAGCCAGTGACAGACCCGAAAGGAACACACGTGATAACGAACGTGACGGTGAGGGTGCGATAGATGCGCTGCGGGTGGGCAAGAGAAAACCACCTAACCTACATATACAGAATGGTATGTGATGAGCGTGTGCATTCGGGCGTCCGTCCATCCATCCATCCATCGATCCGTCAACCTCTCCGTCGGTGAGCAGCAAAACAACCGCGTGACGTGACGTGACGATACACACGTAGGTACGTGCATATGTGATATTTATTTACAGAATAATATAGCGGGAAAGGCAACGGGTCAGTCAGTCAGTCACGGCACGCGAGAGGGAGGGAACCTTAGGTCCGCCTGCCTGCCTGCCTCTGCGTATGAGGGCGTAGAGATGAGAAATAAGAGAGACGAGACAACGAGACGACATGAGACGAGAAAAAGGAAAGAAAAAGGGAGAGAATTGTGTATACACACGCAACGCAACGCAACGCAACGTGACAGCCAGTGAGCGCTAGTAGTGTGTTCTTTCTGCTCTGCTCCAGAGTGTGTGTATGTTTGTCATGTTCACCAAAAGAAACAGATGACAGACAATACAGCGACCCACAAAAAAAAGCCGTAGACAGACAGGTGTCAACAAGTTCTTGATGAGAACGTTTTCGGTCGTGACACTACAACATCAGGTGCGAAAACACGTTCAACGAGCCCCCATCCCCCCCGGACTCTCACACCACACCACAGCACACCAAGGCACATGACAGCAGCCTCTTCCCTCCCTCGTGTGCGCCATCCCTCCCATCCCCCACCCATTCAGCGAGCTAACAATCTACCAGGCAGGCAGTCAGGCACTAGTTGATCAAAGTGCCTGCCCTCAAGCACACGGCCACCCAGCCATGCCATCCAGGAATCAATCACACCAGCACTCAATGCCTCCATCGATCAGACCTCACCCTCATTGAGCCGGGTAATCCATGCTGCTCTGCCTCTGCTGCTGCTGCTGCTGGTGGTGGTGGTGGTGGTTGTGTCCCTTGCCCCTGCCCCTCCCCCCTCCACACACCATGTACCTCCGCGTGGCCCCTCCGTCACACAGCCCGCTCCTCTTGCCGCCTGGCCCCCCGCGCTTCCCCGCAATTTCCTCGACATCCACCATATGCTGGTCGCCATCCACTCCGCCGCCATCCTTGCCCACATCGACACCGACACTATGTGCGTAGGGTGTCGTCACGTCGCCGCCGCCGCCCATGACCACGTCGGGCTGCGGGTGCTGCTGCCCCGCCCCGAGAGGGAGCGACAAACCAGATGCCGATGATGCGGACGCCGATGCCGATGCAGGTGCCGATTCGTAGAGCGCCTGGGGTGAGGGGGAGGGGTGGATGTGCACCACCGACGTCCGCTGCAGGGCGGGGCCGAACGGGCCGTCGAGGTCCGACAACTCCGTGACCGCGTCGGAGCTGGCTGCGATGGACGCGCGCCGCTCGGCGTCTGGCTGGCGCGGGGGCTGCGGGGCGAAGGCGCACATGTATGATGGGGGCGGGGGTTGTGGGTGTGGGTGTGTGTGGTGGCTGTCGAGACGGCTTTGGTCGACCACCTGGCGATAGACTACCGGGAAGGATGGCGGGATGGCTGGAGGG